TAATTTTCTGTCGATAAATCAAGCAACGTAATTTTCTGTCGATAAATATCATACGAGTAGTTACGAAAGTTATTACCGATGTAAGAAAAACACTGTTACGCAATTAGAATTATAATTACGTTTAAAATAACCAGTGGTCTCTCTTATTATTAATCACTTCGCTACATTATCAGATTATTAATTAAATTTCAAACAGACGGGCTTTATCTCGTGTAGCTCGTTACATACAGACTCATTAATCAAAAACTTCTTAACCATTAATCCTCAATCCTAAGAAGAATTCCCTTACTGGCACTTCTCGAACGATGCTATTTCGTCGATTTCGAAAATTTGTTTCGAATTTGTTTCTCGTCGACTTTTAACATCGACATCGTCTCTTGTAGAAAATGGTTGCGGAAAAATACGATAAGCTCGAGCCTGAGCTGAAACAAGAATTGAAAAACATCGCCCAGCAGATTGTGGCACCTGGGAAAGGAATCCTGGCTGCGGATGAATCGACCACAACCATCGGCAAGCGTCTGAAAGACATCAACGTTGAGAATTCCGAGGATAATCGTAAAGCTTACAGACAACTTCTCTTCACCGCCGCTAAGGTACAATTGTTGATTTATTACACTAATTACTAGTATTTATGGATATTGTTAAAGAATGTGTCTACTACTGTTCTTTGAATCTCTCTTGTTTAGATATCACGATATCATGAAGTTTCATCTGATTTTCAAAATTAGTTGAGAAATAAAATCAGCAAGCGAAATTAGCTGAATAAAAGCGATAGAAGCTGAGTGAAAGTTTGTCTTCTTTTTATATATATATAAAAAAACAGCGGAACCTCCAAATCTATCGTTTTCAAGGAATTTGCCGAAGAAGAAAGAAACAATCAATCGAACAATTGAAATCTAATATTATACCCTGGATTGCATCTTTCGCGTATTTGTCCTTAATAAATCATATGCAAGTTATAAAATCAACTTCCGAATGTCATAAAGTCGAGGAATACTCAAATTAATACAACGATTTGCTTTTCCCTTCTAATAATCTTGTTGGTCATATCTTTCTATCTTAAACTCAGAAGGAACAAACAAAGTCCAATGTCATATCTTTTAAAATATTTGATAAACTACGGAATCAGCTAGTTCGAAATATTGTCAAATATTTATAGGCACCACGGTCGAAAGACATTCTAATAATCTTATTGGTCATATCTTTCTATCTTAAACTCAGAAGGAACAAACAAAGTCCAATGTCATATCTTTTAAAATATTTGATAAACTACGGAATCAGCTAGTTCGAAATATTGTCAAATATTTATAGGCACCACGGTCGAAAGACATTCAATTTTCTATTGAATAATAATAAATCTAATTAATAATAAATCCATCCAATGTTCCCCGTCTCTAACGATCTTCCCTGCGTTTTCAAAGGACACGATCAGCCAGCACATCTCTGGTGTCATTCTGTTCCACGAGACTCTCTACCAAAAGGCCGACGATGGAACACCATTCGTCGAACTGCTGAAGCAACGTGGCATCCTGCCAGGCATCAAGGTCGACAAGGGTGTGGTACCGTTGTTCGGCACCGACGACGAATGCACCACCCAGGGCCTCGACGATCTACAGGCCCGTTGCATCCAATACAAGAAAGACGGGTGCCAATTCGCGAAATGGAGATGCGTGTTGAAGATCAAGAAGGACTGTCCGAGCAAGTTGGCCATCTTGGAGAACGCGAACGTCCTAGCTCGTTACGCTTCCATCTGTCAGAGCGCTAGGATCGTGCCGATCGTCGAGCCGGAGATCTTGCCCGACGGTGATCACGACCTTGTCCGTTGCCAACAAGTTACGGAAGAAGTTCTGGCCGCTGTGTACAAGGTGAGGGAGGAGAAGAGGCAGTCTGCATATTGATTTGGTTTGTTTCGCGCGAGGTTATTGGCTCTTTGTTTCGTTTGTTCGATGGAGAGAGATCTTCTGTGCAATTGGAGCCTACTATAGTCATTTAATCGGAAACGGAAGGAAATGTCAAAAGACAAGAGCGGGACGGTTGCAAACTATAAATGTGCTTTCTTCCTCAGACTGAAACTAGCGACGACTAAAGTATAAAAATCGTGTCGGAGAAATAGAAGAGGCAGGGAGAAGTTTTTTAAAGAGATACTTTTATCTAATTATTTAACATAATATTTCTAAGTTATGTAATTTCATAAAAATACATCGTAATATTTTCTGCTATCTATATCTATAGTGCTTCTGTCGAAACGATAATTTCAAAAGGTATATTGTTCGTGTAATTAACTCAAGCCAATATTATATATAATATTCCCTAATAATATCGGTAAAATTTGTGCGTTCTGGTAGTCATTTTGCCAACGATGTCACAAAATATGAATTTCTTATCAGTGTGCTTGATTTCTCGGTTAAATTCTGCGTTGAACTTAATCGTCTTTCGTTTGTAATTAATTTCGTCGTACAGAAGTTATTTAAATTTAATCATATTCGACTCGCCAGGCACTTTCTGATCATCATGTGTACCTCGAGGGTACCCTCCTGAAACCGAATATGGTAACACCAGGACAAAGCAGCCCGAAAAAGGCAAGTCCTCAGGAGATCGCGGCCGCTACCGTGACCGCTTTGCTGCGCACCGTACCACCCGCAGTGCCTGGCATCACCTTCCTCAGCGGTGGCCAGTCGGAGGAAGAGGCATCTGTCAACTTGGACGCCATCAACAAGTTCCCCGCGAACAAACCTTGGGCACTGACCTTCAGCTACGGTCGTGCTCTTCAAGCCTCTGTCCTCCGTGCATGGGGAGGCAAGAAGGAACAAATTGCTGCCGGCCAGGAAGAACTTCTCAAGAGGGCTAAGGTAAGGGCTAGGTTTTCCTATTTTTCGATTCTTCCCTCTTCTTGTATTCTATAATTTTTGCTCTGTTTCTTTATGGTTTACGATTTTTGAGCATCTCTAATAATTCTTGACGTGTGCTGCTGATATCAGTAGATTAAAATTTTTTTTACTTCTTTTTTTTTATTATTATTATTGTAATTAATTTTCTTTGATTTATCTGCGTTTCTCTTTGTATAGATTTGTAGAGAAAGTGTTACTAAAACATCTCTGTTCTCTTTCCGTGTGCCACTTATATGTATCTTTACTGTCATTTCTTTCTTTTCTGTCTACAGCTCTTTTAACTTTCCCTACTTTCTATTACATTTAGAAATTTCTGTTACATTCTTATGTAAATATCATATTGCGTCAATTTTATTTGGATTTAATCACTACTCATCTTTACCTTTTTTTTTTTTTTTTTACTGTTTGTTTTCGGCATGTACGTATACTGTGTGGTTGTTTAGGCAAATGGTCTAGCCAGCCAAGGCAATTACGCTGCTGGTAGCATTGTTAGCAAAGCTGCAAATACCTCTCTCTACGTGAAATCTCATGCCTACTAAACTCTTGCTTTTCTTTCTTTGAGACATGTTTCCATAGTAAGTATCTAGTACATTAGTTATACATATATTTGCCTTTTTACGCGCTTCTACGATATACATTGTACGATATATATCAATAACATAAAATGTAACTAACCTTCAGAAGTAATATCGTTGGGTCATGATTATATTAATTTAGATCATTTAAAATTTATTTCTATTTGTATTACTTTGTATTTTATATTTTCTCCGATAGAGATTGACGACAAAATTCGATTGAATTAAAAATTCTAAACACTATCGTCTAAAGATTTTCGGACATTTTTTTTTTTTAATCCTTGACAAGGCGTATCTCACTTGCAAAAATTACGCATAAATCCAACTACAATCATTTTATAGTCGTCTTACCTACGTTTATAATTGTCAAATTAAATTTAAATTAAGAAGTTTGTTCTAAACTCGTAAGACTTTTGAAGTGTCCATTTCTATCTACTAATTTATCATCGTGTTGTATTAAAAATTTGTTTTTAATACAACACATTTTATTTACACTATAAAAA